CTGTCTGTATGTGTCTGTCTGTCTGTCTGTCTGTCCCCAAAACTCAAAAACGGGTTTGCGGATTTCCACCAAACTTAATAGATTTGACCAACAATGTGACAAGATCCACCTGATAAACTTTAGGTGTAAACACGCCAAAAATTCACCAAATATTACCACTGTACCGCTTCATCCAATAACAACACCTGGGGTATTTCAGAGGTTAAAGAAAACGACTATATGAGACAGCCTCTAGGGGTGACTACAGTAAGAGCGTCATTAGTGCGGTGTTTACTCTTAATACTGTAATGGCTCGCAGGCAAGGTTTGTATTTCTTTGAATGATGTTTACGTTTTTAAATACTGTTTGTTATTGATTAAGTTTAGTGCTTTGTATGATAATCTGGAGAACTGTTCATTATTTACAAATGTATTATGTGTACAGTGTATCTTTTTACATACATACATATATACACACACACACACCTACCTACATACCTGTACCTACCGACATATATATACAGTATACACACACGAACACACACTCAAGAGACATAACAGTAGTGCCAGTGGTTTATTTACTCGATGTGTTCAAGGTAAAACACACTTAATCACAGGTAAGTGAACTCTATATATCTCACCTGTTTTTAATCAACATCAACACGAGCTGCCATTTATGCTCCCCTCTCGTCCTAGTGTGTGTGTGTGTGTGTGTGTGTGTGTGTGTGTGTGTGTGTGTGTGTGTGTGTGTGTCCCAAGGTGTTAATTATTTTACCTGAGGTGTCAGATATTAATAAGACTTTAAAGCTTTGTTTCAGTTGTTAATTCGACTTTCAGCTTAAAGTGTAAGAAGTTAATAACATTTTCAGCTTAAACTGTCAGAGGTTTAACAAAAGCTTAATGGCAGAGGTTTAATTAACAAAAGCTTAACTGTGTTAGGGGTTTACTCAATAAAAGTTTTATGTGTCAGCTTTAATCAACAAAAGCTTAGAAAGTATCAGACGTTTCATCATCAAAAGCTTTACAGACTACTGTACAGTGTGACAAGCTCTCCAAACACAGCTTAATTACAGTGAGACTAACTAACACACAGACTTTCCTATGTGAGATAGTGTTTGTCTCTCTAGCTACTGGTTGACTGAAGGTAGACGTCCCTCTCTCTTCTCTATGTGTGTGCTGCACCTTCTCTCCTTCCCTCCCTCTCCCTCTCTCTCCTTCCTCCCTCTCCCTCTCTCTCCTTCCCTCCCTCTCTCCTTCTCCCTCTCCCCTTCTCCTCCCTCTCCTTTCCCTCCTCTCTCCTCTCTCTCCTTTCCTCCTCTCCCTCTTCCTTTCCTTCCCTCTCTTCCTTCCTTCTTCCTCCACTCCGCCTCTTCTCGCCCATTTTCAGTACATCAGCGAGTAACGAGTGTGGTGGACGGAGGGGCTTGGCGGAGACTCGGGTAGTGGGGTAACATTATGCGACGTGCTTAATGAACGACTGAATTACCAAACACGGCGACTCTGTGTGTGTGGAGAAAATTGCTTTTTCTTGTAGCCAGCGCGTGTGTGTGTGTGTGTGGGGTTGTTCTGTCTGTCTGTCTGTCTGTCTGTCTGTTTTTCGGTCTGTCTGTCTGTCTTCGTGTCAGTAGTAGCGTTTGTCTCAGTTATTTTTTATCTCTCTATTTATGTGTGAATGCTTCTGATTCTATTCCTTCTTCTCTCACTGGATTCTCTCTCTTTTCTCTTTTATCTCTATCGAACAGTATTTTCCTCATTTTCTTCAACCTGATAGTCTCTCTCTCTCTCTCTCTCTCTCTCCTCTCACCTCGCCAACAACTACCCACCTACATCAATAAAAACATAAACAATAACAAAACATTATCCTCCAAACTACAACAAAACAAGAGATAAAGACACACACACACACACACACACACACACACACACACACACACACGTCACCTAAATCTACCAACAGCCTAAAGCTTAAACAAAGATAAGTCACACCTGTCCACTGAACCACTTCGATACACAAACCTGAACATAACTCACAAACGGACAGATGGATTCGGACGAAGAGATTTGGATAGATTTGACGGACGAAGAGACGGATGGACGGATCGGACGAAGAGATTTGATAGACGATTTGACGAAGAGATTTGATAGATTTGACGGACGAAGAGATGATAGACAGACGGACGAAGAGACGATAGACGGACGACGAAGAGACGGATAGACAGACGGACGTAAATATCAACAAATTCACAAAATCACTGAATGTAAACTAAGGAAGAGATACATATAAATAATCAAGAAGATACACTAATGAAAGATAGACATTAAATACCTGTAATCAAGGTGAGATCGAGTTCCCAGGTGTGTGTGTGTGTGTGTGTGTGTGTGTGTGTGTGTGTGTGTGTGTGTGTGTGTGTGTGTGTTTAGAGCACCTGTACCCTCCCACCCCCACGTAAAAGAATGACGCGTGGAGATATTTTGATGCATGAATATTCAGGTGAGAGAGAAGGTAAATTTGTAGATCTTACCTGAGGCTGAGGAAGGGTGAGGTAGGAACATCTCTCTCCACAATACTGCATCTTACATGATCTTCCGTATAGTATAAGAGTCTTTGGTGTTATCTGAGAACGAGAGAGATTTGATGAGTGTATGGATGTGAGAAGATAAATAATAATAACCATAAGAATAACAATTTATAACAACAATAATAATAATAACCAATAACACCCACCCACACACCCACGACATACGTCCCCACACCCACACCCATGATATAACCCATTATACACCCCCTCCCCAACACACACCCACCCCACCCCCACCCCACCCCCACACACCCACGACATACGTCCCCACACCCACACCCATGATATAACCCATTATACACCCTCTCCTAACACACACCCACCCCCACCCCACCCCCACCCCCACACATACACCAGAATGTAGTGATTTCAAAAGTGGGACCGGGCCTTTTAAACTAATAACCACCTGTTTTCTGCCAGTAATTGGGTAAATTTACAAGCGGCGGACACCCCTCCTCCATAACAAGTGTCGCGCCTATCATAATAACTTACCACTATGTTACCCACCTCACTTTATTTTGGTTTTCAGTAAAGACCATTTGTTATTATTATTCAGGGCAGGGTTTTGGGAGGGGAGGGGTAGGGGGAGTGGGTGGGGGAAGGGGGGAGGGCAGAGGAGAGGAAGTGGGGGGTGAGGCAGGTAAATAGTTCTCAGAATGTTGTGGTGTGTGACAATTTAAAAATATTAATGAACGTTATACGCGTCTGGTGATGCAGCTATAAGCGTGCATGGCCCCACACACAGAGTTTGGTTAATTAACATACAGTAATTTGATGCACAGCTCCGCTCATTACATTATATACTGAGGACATAAGTGTTTTTGTTATCCTTAAAACACACACACACACACACACACACACACACACACACACACACACACAAAAGAGCATCGCTTTGTGGAACGTGATATAATTTAGTCAACAATTGTCATATGATCAGAGAGAATTATTTCACTCGTCACTTTTCTAATTACTTATAGACTAGTGTGTGTGTGTGTGTGTGTGTGTGAGAGAGGCAAACGGTGGTGGACACGATCTTAAAATATTTCATGGTGGTACTCGAGAATTTCCTCTTAAAAATTGTTGAAGGTAATACTCGAGGACTCATCCTTAAGGAAAACTTCACCTTACTCAAAAATAAATATAGAAGGTTAAACGCTGACGAGTATAATGACACACACACACACACACACACACACACACACACACACCATCATTATTGGATAAGTTTAAGAAATATTAAATAATACTAAAAGGTGTTGCTCTCTCACAGTCGACCGCTGCACCTATAAGAGAAGGGAGGGGAGCAGGGAGAGGGGTAGTGAGAGGTGGAAAGTGAGAGCCACAGTAAAAATGCTAAATACGCTCGTATCCTCGCCACTCTTTCACTCCCTACCCTCTCCTCCTATCCCCTCTCTCCCTCTTCCTCCTATCCCTCCTATCCCCTCCCACCACCCCTGAGTGTTGGGAGGTGGATGGTGTGATGGCCAACAGCCCCCAGCCATTGCCCTCATTTACACTCTCCCCCACTCCTTTCCCTGCACACACACACACACACACACACACACACACACACACACACCAACAGAAACTGAGGACAAGAATTTAAAGGAAGAGGAAAACAGACTATAAGCACAAAGACAAGAGGAAAACAAAGAAGAAATAACGAAAACAAAATAAAGAAAAATGTAACGAAAACAATGAAGAAAATAATAACAGGAAGAAAAACCAACAAGGAAACTAAAAAAAAAAACGAAAATTAACAAGAACAACAAGACAATGAAAAGCGGGAGAACGAGGAGGAAAACACAGAGAATCAAAACAAATCAAAAACAAAACACCATCGCTACTGAACTGAAAATGACGAACTAAGCGAAGCAAACGTCTTTTTGAGGAGGCAACTAAATGCGACTTAAACAGAGCCCCGGGTATGTGTGTCATGATATCCAACAGGTAAGAAGAAGGTGAGACTCTGGAAGGATAGTGTAATTAGTGCAGGTAAAGGTGAGTTTAAGATACCTGTATGGTGGGAACAATAGATACCTGTGTGATGTAAGTAACGTTAGAGACCTGAAGATTAGACATCCTAGCTTAATTCACCTGAAGATTAACCACTCTAACTCTACCTTGTGGGATTAGATTAAGATTAGATTAGCGTTTGTAAATACTCCAGTAATATCAGGATGAATTTCCCTGTATAAAAGTCGTCTCAGAGCAGAGTAACAAATGTGAGGGGGAAAAAGCGCGAAAATGACGATGGAGTCGTTGGGTGTTGCTTTGGGATCAGCTGATAATGGGAGGGAAAAAACGCGCGCGCTAAAAACGTAAATAGGTAGGCAAGAGGCGGTGGGCGGGGTAGGGGTGGGAAGGGGAGAGGGTGGGGGGTGGCGCAGGAGGGTAGGAGGTGTACAGGGGGTAGGGGGTACAGGAGATTGGGGTGGGCAGGAAGAGGGTAAGCAGGGGAGAGAGAGGGTGTGTACAGGAGGGAGGCATAGGGGAGAGGGAGGGGGAGGGGAGTGTACAGAGGGGCAGGGGGGGAGAGGGGGTACAGGAGGGGGGGGAGGGTGCGAGACTATAAAGGATTCTGGTCAAAAATATCTTCCACTTTTCTGTGTAGACGTTATACGAGGGTTGAATACTTTATGGCGTTACTTTGTAGTGTAAAGAACATACTACAGTGTTATATACTTGCAGAATATGTTTACACCTTCTGATACCAAAGGGGCACAAGGTGGTAAAATATTTTCTATACCGAACCTAACCTAATCCAACCTAACCTAACCTAACCCAACCTAACCTAATCTAACCTAACCCAAGCCAAGCCAACCTATCCATTTTGTTCATAAGACTAATGCAAAGAGACACAAGAGATAAAATACCTCCCTGAAGTGAGTGTAAGAGTTTTGTGTTACTGATAATGATGTTTACTGTTCTTCAGGAGACGTGTGGGACTCCCGAGGGATTTCTGTTACGAGGTCAACACTATTTCAGAGAGCGTCGGTACATAGTTACTTTGCTCTGATGGTGAACGTCTTACATACGAGTGTGTTCCATTTATTTGTATTTTATTTTATAGTTTATTTATTTCAGTTATAAACATTTTTCTGCATTTAATGATAAAAATATTCCCCCAATTTCTGCCATACTTCCCTAAACTACGATTAAAAATTTCCCTGGACTAGGATAAAAAATCCCTAAACAAAATTAAAATCCCTAAACTATAATAAAAAAAATCCCTAAACTGACAAAAAATTTCCCTAAACTATAAAAAAATTCCCTAAAGTCTATGATAAAAATATTTCCCTGAATGAGAAGATTATACATAAAAAAAAATACACAATTGAATTAACCAGAAGTGGAAAATTGTCTCGACGCAGGAGAGGAAAAACAATTTAGATAAAGATAATAGAATAGGAGTGAAAGGCCAAGATAAGCTATATTAACCTTATACATATTTAAGAGCATCTATGGCCATTTAAATAAACTATTCAAGGATTATCTACAAAGACTGAGCTTATATATTCCATCATCTGTTAAAAATAATCTAAAGCAACATTGATTAGCCATGAAATATTCCAAAAATAATCAATAACTGAACTTCAATCACGTAAAAAATATTTCCAAATAATCTAAAATAATCAATAACTACAATCACTTCAACAAAATCTTTCATAAAACCTAAAACAATAAATAACTAATAACTTCAATCACATTCCCCCAAAAATTACTTTCAATTCCATTAACCATAAAACAAAGTTGAATTTTACCTTTAGGCAACATCAACACTTGGTGCACCAGGATCATCACACTCCCACACTGTAAGCTCTAGGTCACAACCACAGTCACACACACACACAACTACACTATCATAAATACCATAATCCTAGCGGCTGTGTGTGTTGTGTTTTAACCCCAGCACTTATACTTTTCTATCTGACATTGGCCGAGTAACACAGACATGATAAAGTGGATTGGAGATTTGATCCTTTGTGGTTAGATGGAGGTACAGTCGCCTGCACTTATACCTGGTACAGTTGCTGGCAAGTTTTGTGAGATGTGGCAGCTTTGTGTTTGTTTACTTTGCATTAAAACTCCCGGAATGGCCCAAAGGAACGTCTCAATAGTAACCAGACTACCGATACTAGATAAATATTCCACATAGTTGCCACATCTCACATAATGCGCCGGCCAGTGTACCAGGTATAAATGCAAGTGACTGTACATCAAAACACAGTACACAACGTCCCTCTCACACTGGCATAAAGACACAGGGATGACTTACGTGTAATGGAGACATTCACTCGAAGATTAGTTCTAACTTCATGTGCTCCCCCATACTTATAGTGGTGATCTGTATATGATAATGACAATAAAGTACCCGCTCTACCCGACAACATCCTCAAAATCTTAAGTGTAAGGCAGAAATTACCTCGTTCGTCTTGGCTGTAATCCGAGTAAGTCGTAGGATCTGCCACAGTGTTTCAACAAGAGTAATGCAAAGGTCACTTACCACGCCGACGACACAGATGCAGTGACCTACATGGCGGCGCTAAAGGGTCACACCAATGATGACCAATCGATCCTAAATTTCACCAGATGTCTCCAAAACCGGATAGGTGACCTTGACCTCTATGACCTAATGACCTTTCTTCGGAGTGACATGACATCAACACAGCTTCCATCGACATTCTTAAGGACACGCATGACCTAGCAAGACCCGTTCAGCTGAAGGGATGAATCCAAACTCAAGAGTGTGAAAAGGTGGTGTTGAGTCAGGCGTCAGCACGAGGGTGTATAAAAAAACCTTCCCTGGTGTAGTCAGTATTGCCTACCCCGGTACTCACTACACTCCTCTATGTCTCCTCTCCATTTCCTAGACAACTTTTCCAGTTTGGAGGAATGGCTACTCGTGCGCCAGACAGTATAAACAGCTCTTATGTCACGGGGCCCGCTCGTAAAACACACGCCGCGCCGAGGATGGCAGAAGGCGGGCGAAAGAGTTAGACGGCGAGTGAGGGTAAATAGCGGGTATTGTC